ATTCAATATACTCAAACTTCATATTCAATAAAATTTTGTTGTATAAATCAAAACATATAGTTGCATTAATTTCAAACAGTTATATAATCTTTACTATGCAGTGACATTATTAATCGGGAAATGTTTTCCTTCAACAACAATAACTGTTCTTTATATACGTTTTTCATACATGGACTTTGCGTCTCTCAAATCAAAAAGATATTAGTGTATATGTATGTGTGTATGTATATGTATGTGTGTAGTATGTGTGTATGAAACATATAAAAAGATTACAATAAAATAAGATATAATATTAATAGTATTATGCTGTTTTTCTTAAATTACTTTTTGCAAGAATAAGTAAACGAAATTTTAATAGCGATAATTATTGTGTACACAATATGCATATGGAATAACCAGTTTCAAGTTGCTTTGGTCTGAATGATGTATATTTTATTTATTACGTCAGTCGGGCAAAATATTAGGTGTCAACTAGTGCAAAGATCGCATTATGAAAGCCATGCGCGCATATACGCATTTTATATCTAACGATATTGAAAGCTATCAAGATTTACAAAGCATTAACGCTCTCGTGTTGGAAGAAATAAATAATTTCTGTTTATCGCTCTGTTCAAATTGTAAACATACTGAATACACAAAGAGATTATTTTTATCACCTTTTACTTCATTATGTTGGGTATTTTTTCCTGATTGTGATTTTTGATCGATATTTTTTTTTGATGGTATTAATAATAAAAATTGAAATAATTGTTATCATTAAATATCATATTTTGCAATTACAAATTTATTATATGTATAATTTTTATCATTTGTGTTAATATTTGAGATTATATTTAAATGTACAATAAATATACTTTTCTGGTTATAGATAAAATTATTTATTGACATATTTGTGATTGCGAAGTAAATAGAATGTCCGTTTAACGTTACTATAATGATAAGCTGATTTAATTACGAAATTTGTTGGGTGACTATCATGCATAAATTGATATATTTCGTTAGAATTTATTTAATTAAAGTACAGGAATCATCTATAACATATTTATGTCAATAGAACTTTCTTTCTGTATATGTCACATTAGTCACATAAATATAAAGAGAGTATGTAGGAGAGGAGAAAAAACAATAAACACAGTAAGAATTCAAAGTTTATGCGAGGAGACCAGAATCAATATATTATACGTATTCTGTTTAAGAAATCTAAAAATAATTTGTTAGTACTTTTTCTTCAATTTTTCCCCGAAAAATAAAGTAATTTATCATCATTAATCATTATTGTTCAATTTATTTGATATATGCTGTAAGTACATATGCTATATGAGGATCACGCACTCATAAAGCTTTCAAGATATATAGGAGTATGTACATCGATAAACATATTCTCAAATATGGTAGATATATTACATTATATCTATACGTAACTTAACTTTTTATTTATTTTTTATTAATTTATCGGGCTCGTAACTTGAGCAGTGAATTACAATGATCGTTTCTTATGCAATTTTCGCAATTCGAAGAATAAATTTTGTTATATAATAACACAATATATCTACCACAATTTCCAATAAGTATCGCGCCTAATACGCGCGGACCGACCGTGACTCATTTACGCGACGCAACGAGTTGCGAGTATAATTAATTACGTAGCATATAATTTACTTGCGATAATAAGAGGTCACAATTTAAATTAATCAAATTAAATTAATCTTGTAAATGTAAAAAATTTACTGTATTATTTAATGGTATTTAACAATTTAGTATTGCTTTACATTTTTTTCATCAATATTGTATCTTTGTGTGAAAGTAATATTCAATAAACTACAGGATTAATTACACATAATCACATTAAATTGGGAGATACAGTCGTATTTATAGATGCTTTACACAAAAATCACGACGGCAAAATTACTTTTTTGATATTTTGCCAGGTGTTAGACGAGTGACAATAGAGCAGTTGCGTTTGCGTGACATATATCACGCGTGTCGTGTGACGATATTAACCAATTGCTAGCTAGAGAAAAAGGCATTACGTGAGGGGACCAAGAGCAAAGAATGTATTATCAATTTAAAAAACATGTGACACTATATAGTTATTGTAACTCAAAATCTTCTTTTCTATTTTAATTTTATAATGCGAAAAAATGTATGACGAGTTCTATACAATTTATCCTTCTCTTGATAAATCTACTTTAGTTTCTTTTTTTAAAATGTGTCTAAAATAGAAATTTTTAAAATGATTATTTTAATTGTTTATTTTATTGTTCAATCATTTGGTTTTAATTGTGCATTTTACGTTACTTAATCTTATTTAGAATTGCAATTAAAGGAAGAAGAATGAGACAATACTAAATTCATTTATCATAAAAATAATTCTATATAACAATAACAAATAAGATGTTTGTATATTAATTTTAAGTTTTTGATATTATTTAATAGAATTTGATTAATATATTTTTCTTGATTAAAAGAAGAAATGGTACTATTGATACATATATAAAACGATAAATATATATATTAAACATGTAAATTAATAATCAGCTGAATTAAATAAATATATAGTTTTTGATAAATTACATGAATATAATTTAGGTTAATTTTTGAATTTTCTTTTGTGCAGGGGTGCTTTTCGATTTTTTAAAGTTAACTTACTTCTTTGGTGGTGGGAGAAACGTGAATATACCGTTGCAAAAGTTTTCTCAAAATATGCAGCAGCTCATCCGAATAAAGTCGCTTACATTTTCGAGGACACAGAATGGACGTATGAACAGGTAATATCTGACTCATAGACCGCTTGTATTCGTACATTTGCACCGCACCGTACATTTAGCACTTGCGTCGGTGATTGTAAAGACGAGTAGAATTAATTAACTGATGACACGTTATTACAACCGCTGTACGTATATAAGTTTGAACTTTAAATAAATTATTTAAAGTTCTTTGGAAAAATATATTATTAAGACGATGTTCATGAAATTATTAAATTAATCAAATTTTAAGCGCAAAAATATTAGTTTGCGAGTACTTCAAATATATATTTTTTAATTAACGATGTCTTATATAAGAAATAAGAACGCAATTAAAAAATACTATAATTTAGTAATAAAGAATTAATAGAAAAAGCTAATCAAACTCTTGATTATTTAGTTTTGAATTATATGCGTCTATAATAATTTTTTTACAAATATGCATTGCACACAGTTGGAGCACTACAGCAATCGCGTGGGACGTTACTTTCGCACTAGGCCATTTTCTCATTTTGATAGTATAGCTGTCTTTATGGAAAATCGTCCTGAATACATCGCTACCTGGTTGGGTCTTAGCAAAGCTGGTTTCGTAGCGGCTTTAATTAACACAAATCTTCGACGTGATGTACTTCTGCACAGCATTAACGCTGCTGGTTGCAAAGCTGTCATTTTCGGATCGGAACTTAAGGATGGTGAGTTCTTTGCTTTGAATTGTAAACAGGTATTTGTAATTTAAAGAATTAATAAAAAATTAAAAGCCAATTAATGTAAAAATGTCAGTAACATGGCATTTATAAGCATATCATTATTGTTAAATTTGATATTTTATAAATATATTATTACTGTTAAAAATTATCATAAAATTCTCATTTTTTCACAATTATAATTCACAAATTAAAAAGATTATATAGACGATTGATATAGACGACTTTCTTGCTAATTATAGAACATATATAGAACACTCATATACATATTACATTCTAACGTCAATATCTATGTTCTTAATCATATGATTATACTACTAAGTTAACCGTAACTGGATTTTCTCTGGCAAATATACTTTCTAAGTGCACTTTCTATGTTATGAGTGGAAATATCTCTAAACTCGTTTGCATTGCACATATTATTAAAGCGTATCGTGTGCAGCGATCCGTGACATCAAGGATAAAATACCCGACATTGAGCTTTATCAATGGTCCGAGTTGACGGACACGCCGATTTTGGAAGGTGCAATCAATATAAATACGGAAATCAGCAGTATTGACCCTGGGTCTCTCTTCGTTCAACTTGACTATGTTAATTCCCGAGACAAATTGATTTATATCTATACATCTGGGACGACGGGAATGCCAAAGGCTGCTGTTATCAATAATTTAAGGTGAGGTTTCGTGGATTGATTAGCTATATGCAAAAAATCATTAGAATGTTAAGTGTACGAACTTATCGACGAACATACTACGTGTGTGTGTGTGTGTGTATATATATAATTTAAATATAAGATTTTTTTACCTTACGCATGTATAAGACCATACTGATAAAGAAACTAGTAATGTCTTTTAAATCAACGTTGGTGTTTTTATAGAATTAAATTTTTAATTTGTGCTTCATTTATTAACTATATATTTATATGTTATTATTTATTATAAGTAACAATAAGAAATTAATAGTATAAAATTAGTAGTTTGGTCTTTGTCTTATTTTTTTGTTTGTATGCTTCTTTATGTATAGCCACGTCTCGATGGTCGAAGCTCATCTAGCTGCGTGTCTACTTTAATAAACTCTAATAAACTTTAATCACAGACACTACGTTAATAAACTTCAATTAGAATTATCGCCATGCTAAGAATAAATATCTTAAATACTACGTTGATAAATTCTGTTTAAAATTTTCACTAATTGTAAGTATTGAGGCTTAAATAGGAAAAAATGTATTTACTTATTATCATATTGTTAATAATATATAAGCTAATTTGTGAAAATTTTACATTTATTTTCTAGTGTTATTAAAAGTCAGTCCATAACATTAATATAAAATATTTTTCTGCATTTATTTGTATACGTATTGTTTCAAATTGAAAAATAATAATTATTAATAACTTGTGTATACTATTTTTGCGTTTCCAGGTACATGTTAATGACATGTGGCGTGAACTCGATGCTTAATCTACACTCGGATGATCGAATTTACAATCCTCTACCTCTTTATCACACCGCGGGTGGTATACTTGGAGCTGGCCAAGCACTCATGGGAGGCGTCACTGTCGTACTTCGTAGAAAATTTAGCGCGACCAAGTATTGGTCGGATTGCATTCATTACGAATGTACTGTAAGATCACTCTATTTTTTTATATAATTTTATAGTTCTTTAATTTTATCATTTTTTTGGAGAGATTGTAATTAATTGTTGCAAAAAATTTTGATTTAGATAATGCTGACAAAATAAAATTGACTAATATCGACTAACCAAGTATTCACATCGTGCAAACTTCTTTAAAACAGTAATTTTTGTCAAACAAATAATTTATCCAAAAGAGCAAACGCGAGAGTTCAAAAAGAATAATTGTAAATTGCCACAAATTATTATTAACTAAAAATACTATTTTTTGTTATTTTAAAGTTCATTTTTATTTACTTACTTTTTAAATCTAATACCAAAAGTTTCCAAACAACTGATTGATTATATAATTTATCTTTAATAAAAATTTTTTAGTGTTAGGTACTGCATGTATTTAATTTTTAATTAATAATATAATACCTGATAAATCTGTTTTTCTATTTTATATATTGAAAGAAATTGATGACATTGTTCTATAAAAAAGTCGGGAATTCCAGGATTTCTCAGTACCTCGACATTTCATCTTTAATAATGCTTTTTAATGTTTCTTGCGTTTACAAAGATATATGTTAAAAATCTTGTTTAATGAAACTAGACAGAATCGTGTCATAAGAACTTTATATTATACTCTATTACATTTCTGTAATAAGAAAGGATGTAAACAAAGGATATATTCTCGGAAAATGTTATATATGTTCTGAGATTTTATCAAGAAATTGGGAGGATTCCTCTTATCAAGGATTAAAAATATCCTTCTTAAATTTATTTATATTTTACTAGTTCTGGAAACAATTTTTTTTTATAAATATTACAAGAACTAAATGTGTAGAATTTACTATTCATGTAAATTTAAAATAATTGTTCTTTTCCATTACTATTTCTAAAGCTGAATTAAAAGTTGTTTAAATCATCAATTTTTTGAAATCCGATGGCACTACAAATTGTGTCCAAATTAAAAAATAATTACTCCTGTATTTTTTTATTACTACAGAAATCATCCTTTTTTTTATTAAATAGGATATTTATAGATCCTTGTATTGATTACTTTTACAACTATCGGTTTATACAGATAAAGCCATTAAATGCAACAATATATTATTAGTATTAAATGTGCAATATTTTATATTTATATGCTATTAATTTATGTTGAGTTATATAAGAATGTGAAATATGTTAATTTTTACATTATAGTAAATTTTGAAACTATTAAGTTTCGAATATTCAACTTTAATAATAAAAATTGTATTTTTATTTTAGGTAGCGCAATATATTGGAGAGATCTGCCGTTTTCTGCTTACAGTCCCACCAAGCGAGTGCGATACGACGCATAAAGTACGACTAATGTTTGGAAATGGTCTGAGGCCGCAAATTTGGGAATCTTTTGTCAAGAGATTTGGTGTGAAGCAAATAGGCGAGTTTTATGGAGCCACTGAAGGAAACTCAAATCTCGGTAACTTATCTGTTTAATTAGATTAATCTCAGAAAAATTTTGTTATTTAAATCCATAATCTTAAATATGATACATTTTGGGCACAAATAATAATTATTTTTCTTCTGCGTAAATAATAAATTTATCTTTGTTAGAAACGATGTGTTAAAGTTTCGTTTAATAAATAAGTAATTATTTACAATAATTAGCAATAACTGTTGACTTAATATTTTATAATTGTCAAGTGTATAGTTATTTTTAGAAATATTTGTATAATTTACAGTCAATATTGACAATAAAATCGGTGCTGTTGGTTTCATACCAAGATATGCTAGTAATTTGTATCCAGTTGCATTGTTAAAAATTGATGAAGAGACAGGAGAGTTATTGAGGGGGTCAGATGGATTCTGCATACCATGTAAACCTGGTATGTATCACTAAAATTTTATGTTACAAAAAATACGATAAAGAATTTAATATTTTAGAAAAAAATTTTTCCTCTCACGTTAATGCAACGGATTTAGTTTTATTTGTTATCAGTATATCAGAGTACAAGAAGATTTTCTATCGTGTCTTTTTCCATAATTTTTTAAAGAAATTGTATGCTATAATAATATCTCTAATATAATTAGATATTATTATGGCATACAATTTCATTAGTTCCAATTTATTATTAATAAACATATGTTATTAAAAATAATAAATTCACAATAACATTCAGCAGTTAAATACATGTATATTTCAGTCAAATATATATCTACTATATTTCTTTTTCTAATACTTTTAACACAATTGTATTATTTTTATATTATTTGTTTAGGTGAGCCTGGCGTTTTTGTAGGTAAAATTAATCCAAAGAAAGTGGTAAACGACTTCAGCGGATACGCGGATAAAAAGGCTTCAGAGCAAAAGATTATACATGATGTCTTCAAGAAGGGCGATCGCGTTTTCAATTCTGGTCAGTGTTAATATAAAACATAGCGCAATCTATTTACATGATTCATCAAGGATAATTATATATAATTTAATTGAATTTTCCGAACAGGTGATATTTTAGTTATGGATGAACTCGGATACTTTTACTTCAAGGACAGAACTGGCGATACATTTAGGCACGTAGGATACTCTTAATACAAAAAATTAACATACAATCAGATCTATTTAACAATTATTACTATAAATATTTTTAAAATGTAATATTAGTAAATAAATAAAAATTTGATTAATTACATTATGTCGCTCTTGAAATTGAAATATTAGGTGGCGAGGTGAAAATGTTGCTACCTCGGAAGTAGAAGCCGTCATAAGCAACGTGATAGGCCTCAAGGATGCAACTGTATTTGGTGTCGAGGTAAATAACATTTAAATCCATTACTCACTCATAAGATAATCAGTTTTGATTGAGAAAAAAATAGAAATATATATAATAAAGCATAGTATCAATTCATATTGAATAAACAATTGTTTTAGAGTTTTAAAGAAAATGTTATTGATAAAAATTTCTTATTATTCATACATATGCGTTTGCAGGTGCCCGGAAACGAGGGTAAGGCAGGAATGGTGGCTATATACGATCCAGAAAATTCCTTGGACTTGAAGGGATTGGTCGGAAAATTGAAGAAAGTTTTGCCGAACTACGCCATACCTCGTTTTATTCGTATTCTGTCAGAATTGCCTATGACTGGTAAAGAAAACCTATTTAAACCCACTTTATATTAGATTGTATTTAATAATTTGTATTTAATAACACAACTTATTTTGTATACAGGAACGTTTAAATTGCAAAAGAAGGATCTCCAACAAGATGCTTTTGACATTAAAAAAGCAAGTTTCCCCTTATTTATTCTAATTCTTTAAAATAGAAGTGATAGTTATAAGAATAATTATTTTTACAGGTTAAAGATCCAATTTATTTCCTCAACAATGATACCTACGTGAGAATGACTGATGAACACTACAATAATATCATCAAAGAAAAAATTCGATTATAATTCTTTTTCGCGGCACACTTTTTCGCGGAAAAACATCCTTTAATTTTAAGATAAAATGGGAAATTTGAACTTAGAATAAAACGTTTTTTACGATATTAAGTTTCCAGTGTTAGTTAAACTATATTTAGTGATTACTATTTTGTGAACCAATAAACTATCAGGCATGTCTTTTTTCGCAAACGTGTGTGTGCGGAAGCACATGTTGTTTCAAAGAAGAAATGACATGAGGTATTTTCCATTAAGACATTTATATCATGACTGATACTTTATAATTTTTGAGTTACTTTGTATATTAGAATAATGACAATGTGACGAATATATACTCCAGTGTGAATTGCAAAATAGCATAATAGATAATTCACTCAATTAGTAAAAAGATAAGAGAGAGAAAGAAAAAATATTTTTTTTACAGTTATACTTTACATAGTTATACTTTTTCATAGATAGTACTCCTTACTTTATGTTATTTAAGTTTAGAAAGAAATAATTAAGACAAAAAAGAACAGTGTCCAAGAAAAAACAAGAATAACATCTTGTTCATTAGATTTTATCGTTAATTAATTGAAGATAAGCTTTAAATTAAAAAACATCGAAAATTTGCACAAACGCAACGGTTGATATCTTGCTTTCTTTCTGTGGATAAAAATCTGTAATTGTAATGTCGACATGACGTAATTATAATATTTACATAAGTTAACTATAATGTTGACATAAGTTGTACATTAGTCGACTCGCGTTAAGTTAAATTCTGTTAACTTAAATTTTTTATATTTAAAAAGATCCATATAATTGTAAATTATGTCACTTAATCAATATTGCATTACATCACGAATTAAAATTTGCCTGCAAATGATAGCGGAATTTGTATGTTTTCTTATGCGTTTACATTTCTTTACAGAGTTATAATATCTAAAAAATAATATGGTAATACACAATTAATTGTAGACTCTCGGTTTTGTGCGCAATCTATATCTGTCTTGTGTGTAATTCTCATTATATAAGTAATATTCATGTGTTCCCATTTAAGATAATTTAACATAAAATTTATTACTTACACGTTGTTATTCTTGTACTATTAACAAATGACAATATATTTTTCAGTCCCTGTGAATATATATGTATACATATTCAGAGATATAATATTTCACACACACAGAATTGTTGATGTCTATTTTTGAAAATGTACGATTGTTACACAAATAAAAAATATTATCATGACAAAAACATGTTTATCACAACAGTTTTACGTTTTTTCCTTTACATAAATGATTATTTCCAAATAAAGACAAGAAAGACATAATACAATATAATATCACAAGTAATTTCAATAAAACTAAAAGTATGGTTTTTAATTAAAATATAAATTAAGTATTAATTTATATCTTTATATCTTATAGTAATATAATAATAACATAATAAAAAGAATAATTAGTTATCTTTACTATAGATAGATCTTCTATACCACATTTTTGCTGACATTGCTAAATTACCAATAATTATTGGCCGATTAGCTTAAAGAGATAAAACATACTGAGTTTATGTTAACAACTTTATAACTGTATTTGAGAGTTATGGGAGTATATATTGCAGAAAAATGTGTGTTTAGTTCTTTATAATTATTATTGTTATTAAAATTATAATTATTGTAATGAAGTGTAGAATCTTTTAACGAAACCTGGTTAAATTAAAAAAGACAGTTTGCATAATTGTACGACGTTATAACCATAAATAAATAAAGCATAAATAAGGTAATCTTATCGTGCTTTGACATGTGCTATTTAGATTGTGTAGCATGTTTAAAAATCCTCAGAACGTTTTATCAGATAACTAAATTTTTCCATTGTGAAAGATAAATTAGTATTCTATCAGAAGCATTTTTGGTTACCTTTATTTGTTACCCTTCAATTGTGTTTTAATATATTAATGAAATAAAATATTTAATATTTTATTTCATAAGATTAATATATGTAAGGGTTAATATAAGTATAAGAAATATAATAAACGTATCTCTTTAAATTAATTCGTTAAATAATATTAATATTTAAGAGGTCTGGAATTATAAAGCTTAATTGACAGTGTGTTATTTCTCAGAGAAATAATTACTGTGAAATAAATAAAAATTTGTATATATGTTTCTTAATATATTACTTTTTGTACACCCGATATATTGTCTGCTTGGTTTGTGCGCAGTCTCTTGATCAGTGATACTCATTGTGATCACTTTTGCATTACTTTTAATGTGATATATGTCCATAATCAAGAGTATATTTTATAACAATGTTAACTTTTAATTATGCTATGATTATTACATAAGTAAAGAATTTTATTAATTTTCTCAAGAATCTTACATTGTTTGTTAAACAATTTCCAAATAAAAATGTAACCGAAAGAATAAGTCTGTTTCAAAGAGAGCATGGCATCTTATCAAGTTAATATATAAATCATGTTATATATATTTTTAATAATATATAAAATATAATAAAATAAAGTAAGGAAAGAAAATATATAATTTTCTTATTTATATTTTTATACAATATTTTTATATTGTTTATCATAAAATTTTCTTCAATCCAATTTCGTTTGCGTCACAAATAGAAATATAATTATTATTCTAAATTACTGTGATTATTGTATTGTGTACAGCTGATGTATCAACTTACTATTTCTGTTTGAGAACCTTCATATGAAACCTTGCTGTTGATGTTCCTCATGCTCCCTCCTGTAGTCACAGTTCGCAGTTGCTCCAATGTCGTAGACCGATGCTGTCTGTCGACATCGCTGTCGTGGAACAAATACCTATATAGTGTCAAGAAGATATTAGCGATACATTGCATTCAACGTTACACGGTACTGTTATTACATTATAATAAAATTATCTATTATAACAATAATTATTATCGACAGTGGAATTTTCCCGACGTATTGATGTAGAAATAACAGCTGACATACGAATACCGAGCTATTTGCGCGCATATGCAAAAATAAAAGTTATAAATTTCAACTCATTGAATTTTTATTTCTTTCTTAGAACGTTTTATTTTGTTTTTGCTAGCGGTTTTAAAGTGTAATTAATATCTTATTAACGTTATTACACGCTAAAATATCATATTGAAAATGAAAGAAACCTTCAAAATCTTTTATCAGGTAATTAAATCTTCTCTTATGCGAGCGACATAATTAGTTTTTTATCAGAAGAGCCGTGCTTAATTCATCGTTGCGTGTAGGTACTTGCTTTCGTATACAAAGCGAGCGAATTATTGTTAAGTAAAATGTGAATTATGTTTAAAATTTGACAAAACTGAGAAATTTATAGTTATTTATTACAACGTGTATATAAATTACAAGTCATTTATTACATTTTGTTATAATGTATCTAATATAGTATCATAGCAGTTTTAACTATATATGGGGTACGAACGAAATCAAGTGAGAACAATTTTCGTGTCAAAATAAATCAAAATTGTATAACTTTTTTCGTACTTTGTTTTCGAAATAAACGACCTCAAAAATCCATCAACCACAAGCATATCCGACCATGTCTTCACGGATCTTGCGCTATAAACTGCCATCCCCGTTCGTCTTTATATGTTTGCGGACATCGGTAATATCACGATCTATTTCCTATCAGTCTTATTATTTTGCTTAGCTATCATAGTTTCTGCCAAGTTTGGGGTAAAATAAACGAGCTACTTTCAGAGAGAGTATTTGCCCCACTTTTTGTAGTATTCGTCTATTAGAGTGCCGATAAAGCAAGAATCATATCAGTATACTCCCTTGCTATCTTTCCATCGCAAAAACTTGGCACAAACCGATAGCTAAGAAAGATTCTGAACCTCTGGACTGATAGAAAACGAATCATGTCGATGTCCACAAACACAAACACGAACAGAAATAATAATCTATAGCAAAATCCATTTGTTGAAACTTAGTCAAGTACACGTGCACCTGATAGATCCCCAAAAATGTTTATTTCAAAAACAAAACTTTGAAAAAAAAATTATTCTACTCTCTAAAGTAGAATCAGTGAAAATATCACTAATTGAAACAGTAAAATAGGATTTCACTGAGAATCAGTGAGTATTTCACTGAACTTCAGTAGAATGTTTACTTTTTGTTTCTTTATCTTATATTTCACTGATTATGGTCAGTAAAAGTAAGATGTCACTGTAAAATCAGTTATCTGTTGGTAATACTGATTGATGGTGCGAGGAAGCGGAACAGGATTGTGATCTCAGTGATGTGTGAAACAGAAGACGAGAACGAAGTATACGTGACGAAGGACGAAGCGGTGCTAAGTGTATGTATGTACATTACAAAGAATGAGAGAAACTGCGGTACTGAGCTAAGCGTGCTTGCGAAAAAGGTGAGGTTAAAAGTAAGTACGAAAGCTTCTTGAGCCGTTCATTTACCGCGGGTACTGACGAGTACGGTGGCCCAACGGGGCGAGGTTATAGTTTGCCAACGGGGCAAAGATGGAGGCCCAGGGCCCATAGTAAAGCGCGATAAACTAGAGACTGTTTCTCCCTTTTCATTTTCAGCATAAACCACGGCGTATTGAACCAGAGAACTGAACAGCAAACAGAATAAGATTATTAATCTCGGTTATCGTTGGAAACTTATCAAAAGGAGTAAGTCTTTTATTTCTTATTCTTATAATTTCTTAGTATAAATTAATTGTTAAAACACGATTCAAATATTTCGATATTTAATTTCAGAAGAACATTGATAAGGGACAACATGATGATCCTCCTATTTTTCCAAATTCTTCGTTAATACAGATATGGCCTGTAAGTTTGGTTAGTGCATTTAAAAGTTATATATTAATACTTGCTAACACACAGAAAAATCTTTTTTTAGGAAGGAACAAACATAGAGGCACAAGCTCGTAAGCTAAGGAATGTTTAATTTTTAATTGACTTCATTCTGTAAACATTTTGTACGTAACAATTACATTGTTGAATAAAAAATTATAACATGTATTAAAGTTATTACTTTTTGTTACTGTTTGCTGGGACATTTACTGATTTAATCAGCTTGCATTACTGATTTTGCTGTTCAAAGTGACTGTTTCCAGTAGTCCAATATTACTGAGTAAAACAGTCCATATTACTAATTTAATCAGTTCACATTACTAATTTTGCTGCTCAAAGTCACTGTTTTAGTAGTATAATATTACTGATTGAAATAGTCAATATTACTGATTTAATCAGCTCACATTACTGATTTTGCTGTTTTAAGTCACTGTTTCTAGTAGTCCAATATTACTGATTGAAACAGTCAATAATAACTAATTCTTTCAGTGAAATGTCACTGATTCTCAGTGGTATACTTATAACTGCTTCAATCAATGACTATTTACTGTTTCTCAGTAAAAATACACTGATTCTCTTTTAGAGAGTACAATTTTGATTTTACTTTGACACGAGGAATTACTTTGTTCTCGCTTGTACTACAGAAGAATCCTGTATATTACAATAAAAATTACACTATTATAAGATATGTTGTATTTTGTAGGAAAATTAAGCACAATAATAAATAATAAAATATTATTTTGCAGCCTATATGAATTAATTGCAATAATAAGAATTGCAATAAAGAAATATTTTAAAATTTGTGTAAATTCTGAGAATTACTTTTAATAGTATAACAAATAAAAAAATTTTTTAAAATTAGTTTTACAGTTTTAGGTTCACGGTCAACAATGGGAGATAAATTCCAATTCTCTATAGATCGTGGGGGTACTTTCACTGATATATACGCTAGATGCCCTGGAGGGAAAATCCGAGTTATGAAATTACTCTCGGTAGATCCTAGTAATTATAACGATGCGCCGACAGAAGGCATCCGTAGAATATTAGCAGAGGTATGTTAGAAATAATTAAATATTATAAAAAGATAATTTTACAATTTTTATATCATTTAGATCGTATTAATAAAAAAAATATTATAATTTTTTTATCTACAACAATGGATTGCAGTCAGTAGTTGACAAGTATGTAATTTGTAAAAGCTGAAGCTAGTAAAACTGTAAATTAAATAAATTGTATAAAAGTTGCGTGAAGAAATTTGTAAGCGAAGATAAAGATAAGATAATATTGAATTGTATTATACAAGATAGCGTAATCCAATATTTTGTACAAAATATCTTATAAAATTCTTGAAATTATTTCTAACATATTTTATATATTATAAAATGTTTATTAATTTTAGGAAACTGACGTTAAAATGAATGGCACAATCGACACTTCGAATATAGAATGGATCAGAATGGGAACAACAGTCGCCACTAATGCGTTATTGGAAAGAAAGGGCGCGAAAATGGCGCTTTTAATAAATGAGGGTTTCATGGATCTTCTGTACATCGGTAATCAGTCCCGGCCAAATATTTTCGATTTGGTTCGTATAGTTGAATTCAACAAATACTTATGTTTGAAGCGTATATCGCTTTACCGTGAAATATATAGCGAAGAAATTTATAAGCGTATTAAATTCATCATCGATCCGAATTATCTTTTGCTAAATATTTACAGGAGATAGCGATGCCGCAGGTTTTGTACAAATATGTAATAGGAGTAAAATGCAGGGTAATTCCTGCTCTGCCGGGAAGTTGTCGTATGGAAAATCAGTCGTGGCGAAGGGTAAAAGGTTCCACCGGCGAGGATCTGTTCGTTATTCAAGAACTTGATCAGGCACAATTGAAGGAAGATTTGAAAACACTTCGTAATTTGGAAATAGATAGTCTCGCTGTCGTTCTGGCACATAGCTATACGTTAGTAAAAATGCATCTGTTTGAATAAAAAATTTTTAATTATTTTCTAGTACATTCTGTTTATAATTTGTTTTAATTTCAATCAGACACTTATTTTAATTCTGCTCTTATATTTTTACGATATAGTTATGCAGCTGACGAGATCAGAATTGGCGAATTAGCGCGAGAAGCAGGCTTCTCACAAGTGTCTCTTTCACACGAGGTAATGCCAATGACAAGAATGGTTCCTAGAGGCTTTACAGCGTGTGCAGATGCTTATTTGACGCCACACATTAAAAATTATCTACAGGTAATGTTATCTTTATAATTGTACATATATATAATTTGGATTACTTTATAATTACTTATACAAAGTCATTTTCTCTCTCTCTCTCTCTCTCTCTTTCTCTCTCTCTCTCTCTAAAATAATAATTAAAATATATATATTTAAGATACGAGTTTCTATTTCTAAACTATAATAAATAATTTTGTATAGACTTTCTCTTCGGGATTTAAAGACAACTTGAAAGATGTAAACGTATTATTCATGCAGAGTGATGGCGGATTAACACCTATGAATTCGTAAGTCTATTTTTGGAAGTCATTTCTAAGGATTTTTTTTATTACTCTATAAAATTAAATAATTTATTTGTTTTGTTGGCATATTAAAGTTTTAATGGATCACGTGCTATACTTTCTGGACCAGCTGGTGGCGTCGTTGGGTACGCGATGACGACTTATGGAAAGGAGACTGATCTACCAGTAATCGGATTCGACATGGGCGGCACATCTACTGATGTAAGTCGATACGGAGGAAGTTATGAGCACGTTTACGAGAGCACTACGGCAGGCGTCGCTATACAAGCTCCGCAGGTATCTCTCTTTTTTTAACATAAATATTATTATAATAATGTTTAAAATACATATTGAAATCTTGGTCCTTCCTAAAAAATATTACACTGCGTTTTCTCGTAAAGAGTGGTATTTTGCTGAAATAAAAAATTGGGTTGAAGTTGGATGTCAATACAGTTGCGGCGGGAGGTGGGTCGATGCTTTTCTTCAGGTCCGGTCTCTTCGAAGTCGGGCCTGAGAGCGCGGGAGCCCATCCAGGACCGGCATGTTACAAAAAAGGCGGTCCACTGACCGTAACGGACGCCAATCTCGCACTAGGTCGCTTACTGCCCGAATACTTCCCCCAAATTTTTGGGCCCGAGGAAAACGAGCCGCTCGACGTATCTCGTACGTTGAGTATGTTCACAAAACTTACCTACGAGGTAATCTCCTTTACACATTACACAAAATATATCTTTATAAAAATATATCTACATTTTAAATCTTATATTTTGTGAAAGAATGAACTTTTCTAAACTTGAGAAAAGATTTATTGTATTACTTTGGACATACAAAATAACCGTATATGTTACAGATCAATGAATTTTTAAAGAAGGATGAAGCAATGTCGATCGATGAAGTGGCAATGGGGTTTATCAGAGTCGCGAATGAGACCATGTGCCGACCGATTCGCGCTCTGACTCAGGTACAGTTAAATCGAGCTAATTTTTTAGTCGACGTTCGTTTCTAGCTTTTGCTGTAACGCAACTGCATTATTATTAACACGATAACGCACTGTGATTGTTCTTAAATTAGCTTCAGTTTTCTTCTTGAGACAGGCAAAGGGCTACGATACTTCGCGTCACGTCCTGGCATGTTTCGGCGGTGCCGGAGGACAACATGCCTGTGCAATCGCTCGATCGTTGGGCATAAGTACGGTTTTTGTCCACAAGTATGCCGGCATTTTGTCAGCTTACGGAATGGCATTGGCAGATGTTGTTGAAGAGGCACAAGAACCAAGCGCCGAAACTTACAATCGCGGTGATTTATGATAACAGAGAATTCTCTTTCTCTCTCATTAATTATCTCTTGCGCGTTCCTTCATATTGATATTCTTTCCGCATTTCTACAGAAAACTTCGCCCGCTTGGATGATCGTTTGGACGCGATGGAAGCCAAAGTCAGAAGTAGACTTCGCGCACAAGGATTTGCTGATTCTCAAATAAAGACGGAACCATTTTTACACTTACGTTATGACGGCACTGATTGCGCTTTAATGTGCACCCCTGCAAAAGAAAATTTAGCGAGCACCACAACTAGACACGGAGATTTTCTCACTACTTTTCTAGATAGGTAAGCGTTTGATTGGAAAGCAGTTCTCTTTTTAATTACTTAAATTAACAAACGTTTTTAAAATTATAATTAGGTATAAGACAGAATTTGGCTTTACGATACCAGACCGCAAGATTTTAGTCGATGATGTGAGAGTTCGAGGAAGTGGAAAAACTGAAATTCCTGAGGATCCTACATTACCTCCTTCTCAAGCTTCGCCAAAAGCTGAAAAAGTTAGATAAAGAATGCAGATAATATGTTAAATAGTTATTAAACTACTTTTTTGCATCCAAATCAAACTTAATTTTTGAAACTTAATATTGAACTTTATTATCAATCAAAGATAGTTCAAAAATTTTGAAAATATGAATTTTCTAGACCACTATGGTATACTTCGAAGGTGGCTATCAGGAAACAGAAGTCTATCAGTTACCTTTGTTATCCCCTGGAGATATTTTACGTGGTCCCGCCATTATTATGGATAGTTTGAGCACATTATTAGTGGAACCAGACTGTACTGCGGAAATCACTTGTCGCGGTGATGTGAAAATCACGATTGGGCAAGGTCGACGAACGAAAGTCACCACTGATCTCGATAGTATTCAGCTCAGTATCTTTTCGCATCGTTTTATGAGCATTGCTGAACAAATGGGTCGGTACGTACGTCAGTAAATAATTTTAACGTTTTAAATACAATTATTTTTACAGTGCTTTTAAAGATAATAATATATACATTCTCAACTTTTGGCAGAGTACTTCAACGAACTTCGATCTCCACTAACATTAAAGAGCGATTGGACTTTTCGTGCGCAATTTTTGGCCCTGACGGCGGTCTTGTTTCAAATGCACCTCATATCCCGGTGCATCTGGGTGCGATGCAAGAAACCGTGCAATACCAGATGAAAGCATTTAATGGAAAGTTCACCCCGGGAGACGTCATTCTCGCTAATCATCCATTAGCAGGCGGTTCCCATCTTCCAGATTTGACAGTCATCACGCCAGTATTTTACAGGTTTGTGCATTCCCCGCGTTCTATATGGAAACAAATTTTAATGGACAGAAACGTTACACGAATCTTATTATAGACACGATGCTTTAACGAAAGGAGAAACATTGCTAATATTTTGAAGCTAAATATTTTAATTTTCTCTCTTATTTATTAAACAATTAGTAAGTATTTTGACAAAAATTTTGTATGTATCATAGAGATGTGCCTGCACCGGTATTCTTCGTGGCCAGTCGTGGTCATCATGCTGATATCGGTGGTATCACGCCGGGCTCTATGCCACCTCATTCAACGAGCTTGAGTCAAGTACGAGAGAACATAGTTCCGTTTTGGATTTTAAAAGAATTGTGTACGTAAAAGTTGTATGTTTTTTTATAGGAAGGCGCCGTCTTTAAAAGTTTTCTGCTAGTACATAAGGGAGTATTCAGAGAAAAAGAACTAACGGATGCTTTGATGGCCCCAGGCAAAATACCGGGAAGTTCGGGGACCAGAAATCTCTCGAACAACATCAGTGACCTCAAAGCTCAGATCGCAGCGAATCAAAAAGTAATTTGATCATTTAAATTCAATCAAATTTACATAAGTTAAATATGCATAAAATATGATTACTTTTCTGTAAGGGTTTTCAACTGGTAAACGAACTAATTGATATATACAGTCTCGAGGTAGTTCAAGCATATATGGATTATATTCAACGCAATGCCGAAGTTGCCGTTCGAGAAATGTTAAGATCGATAGGTACGAGAATTAAAATGCGAAGAGGAAAAGAAACCGAAATCGATGCCGTTGATTACCTTGATAACGGTAGTCCCATCAAGTTACATGTAAATCTCGATATCAACAAGGGTGAAGCGGTTTTCGATTTTAGGTATATGCTTTTAATTAATATTTGCCAGTATTTATGATAATCGTAATTTTGCTATTTAATTTTATCAAAGATTGGTCTTATCTATTATTGCTATACATTTCTCAACACAATATATAACATTTCTTTGTTCTCTAAATAATAATTTTTAAAAAATACGATATAGTATTTTGCTACTTTTCTCATAGCTTTTTGAAAAATTCTATGCTGTAATAATTTTATATGACATATTATAAATTGTAGTAATTTACAAAATATTTGAAGACAAAATCTAAATTTGCAGTGGAACAGGTTGTGAAGTATGGGGTAATTGCAACGCGCCGCGTGCCATAACTTTGTCTGCGGTAATTTATTGTTTGAGATGTATGGTGGGTCGTGACATACCATTAAATCAGGTACTGTCCTCTTGGATTTTCTTAGGGAAATCTAACAGTAGAATTGATCTCATTCCATTTCTGTAGGGTTGTTTGAAGCCTGTGAAAATAATTATCCCTGAGGGATCGTTACTCGATCCCTCGAATGATGCGGCGGTGGTGGGTGGCAATGTCTTGACATCGCAGCGTATTGTTGACGTAATCTTAGCAGCTTTCGAAATTTGCGCGGCGTCACAGGGTTGTATGAACAACGTAACTCTCGGCACTGAAGAATGGGGTTACTATGAGACAGTTGCCGGTGGCAGTGGAGCAGTAAGAAGAAGAGACTATAAATCTCAGATATATATTCTTGAAATGAGTTTTAATTAATGAGTTATTTAAATAATTAAGAAAATAACGAGCTAACTAAAATAATTAATTGAGAAAAAAGATTTTTTTAAATTTTATAGAATTAAAAGATATAGAAATAATAATTATTATCTTTCTGTACCAAAGTTAATGTATATAAGATAAAAAAAGATATAACATCTACCGTCTTATTTTAGCTTGGCGATATATATGGTAGATATTTCTTTAGCAAACATATTTGTGTTCCTCAGGGAGCGACATGGCACGGCAGAAGTGCCGTTCACACGCACATGACCAACACGAGAATCACAGATCCAGAAATACTCGAGCTTCGCTATCCAATTATACTTAACCGCTTCTCTATTCGACCTGGAAGTGGTGGTAATGGAGCTTATATCGGTGGCGACGGTGCTGTGCGTGAAATGATATTTAGGTGATTAAACTTCGTTAAATCCCAAATTTCTATACATACTATGGACTATGGCTATTTGTATTGCAATTTTTCTTTTATTAAAAAATTATGTTATAAATAAAAAACAACTGTGTGCAAAAAATACTTCTACTTAAAAGCCTTTTTAAATATTTGTTCGCAGAGCTCCGATGACCTTATCTGTATTAACCGAGCGGAGAGTATATCATCCACCTGGATATAATGGTGGTGAGGATGGAGCATGTGGCTTAAATATTTTGGTGCGGGCTGATGGCAGACGGATCAATTTAGGCCCAAAGGCTGCCGTTCCAGTTTATGCGGGAGTAAGCAATTTTAAATAATATCTCTGGCAAAAACAATATATCTCACAGACTTTATTAAAAAAGCAATATGCTCCAAAGTATTATAACATGTTATAACAATTCATTATTTTACCATAATATAACATTAATTAAATTTATGCACCCTACAGTTTGAACTATATTAATTATAATACATATTGAAGGAAGTAAATTTTATAATTAAATAAAAGAGGTAATAAATCAAAATCTTATCAGATCTTAATACAAACTATGGATGCTTTACATAAAAATAAAACAATACTTAATTTTCGTAGAAAATGATTTGTATCAATTAATAAATAATAAATTGATACATATCTGTTTCTTCTGGAAAAAAAAATAAAATTTAACAAATGCGCAATTAAATTTAAAGGATAGCAGAGTGGCGGAGAAATGGTTTTTATAGTTTATGTTAGCTCGTAAAACTGTATCCCGGTAAAATAAGATCTGTTGTGTGCCACACTATAATGTTCATAGTGTGCGCGCAGCAAGAGGTAAAATAATTTCTTTTGCAGCGAATGTATGAGTATTATTAGATAGTAGGAAATGGTCGCATGTGGACATAAAATTCTTAAAAACGGAAAAATTTCGATGTATCATTTTTGATCAAAACAAATGCATTTTTTCAAAACTATGCAATTCTATAAGTCCGATGTAATCTGAGAGATTTATAGTTTTATTTCAAATTTAATATTATTGTCAAAAATTAAAAAAAATTATTTAGAAATAGATATGATAAAGAGAAAGACAGTACATTTTTAAACATTTTATAAAAGTTTAATAATATTTTATGTTTAACATAATATTTAACATTTGACTCGTGCTTTTACATATGTATATCCTATCTAAAAAAGGCATGTTAAAACGATACTCGCATCTCTCGTGTTATAAATTATAAGTTATAAATACTCATAAAATGCTACAAATGCTCTTTTAGCTAAATCTTCTCTTGTCAAACTTTTCTCTTGTTTTTATTTAAAAAAATGGAGTTTTGTACATTTGGAAAAAATACATTTAGTTTTTATATAATGTCTATTTTCTCAAGCAAAGTAAAAAAACTTAAGACAGGTCGTGTAAAGATAAAAAATAATAAACAGAAAAAGCGATAGAAATTACACGAAACTACACTGTGCATATCAACTAACACCGAGTTTTGCAAAATTTCTTTTCGCATTTATCGGAGTGTGAAAGTTTACGGCGGATGTGTATCCATGCACGTTTCCGAATATTTCAGTAGCAGTTAGCGCCAAGAGCATAACGATTACCATATACAGGTGTATACCGTGTTATATACCGGGATTTGTTAACTCTTTTGCCTTTCATTAGTGTATTATATTTGTCTTTGCAATTTACTCCTCAGTCTTTTTATTTAATCTGCCCTGCAATAAATTAAATAATTATCAAGAAAATTTTTACTTTTTGTTGTACTAAACAATATTTACATAGAAATTCTTTTAATAATTATCCTACCTTTAAAATGATAAATCCGTTTTATAATCAAGTAGTAAATATAAACATAATTTATTGTTCACGTACATATCTAATAATTTTTTAAGGCTCTTTATATATGTAAATGTGACTGACGTTTTTTGCTTTTTTTGTGATTTGTGCTATAAATCTCGATTAATATGCGATTTGATTTTATGCCAAGGGTAAATGCAATTTTCCAAAAATTTTGATGACGTTATTTTGCGGCACGGTATTGCTTCAGAGTTTCGATGGAATAGTTTGCAGTGGTTTGGTCAAAAGTTGCACTGTGTACATAGCCGCGCCCACATGCAAAAACTCGTAGCAGCGTAACGTGACTGCTTCTCGGTCCTGGTTATCTCTTCCCGCTGCATTTAATAATTATTAACTCGTAATTTAATAATAATAAATTCAACAGTCGTCGGTTCTCTGAAATATTGTATATGTCTTTGTACTCGTCAAACCATATTAAATATTAAAGCGCGCGCGGTAAACAATTATGACGGAGTATATCTTTATTTGTAATAGCATTTAATATACAACAGTAATACAAATTATAAAACAGACAGCAGCAATTACATTATTTATACATTTTATGTAACACACACATTTTACGTAACACACCCGTTTTATCTCAAATATATATAATGGAATTATAAAATTATAAAATGTGCCAATTTAAAGAAAATTAGGTACTTAAAAATTGTATTAATTAAAAGAAGAACGTAATCTTTTAAAACATAAATTGCCTCTTAGCTTATTTTGATATTACCAATATGATGCATGATATTTTCATTTTAATAACATGCAATTATTGTTATTACGAAAGTTTAGCTAACAATTTCTCATCAAGTTTCGATTTCTTCACAGGATAAGTTCATTATGGAAACTCCTGGTGGTGGTGGTTATGGTTCCGTTTACGAAGAGAAGCAAGAGATTGAGAGATCTTCAATCTGTTCGAAAACTTATGATTCTCAACATTTAAAAACAAAATCTGCATCAAAATACAAAGATTCAAAATCTAACAGCAGTCTGCATAGTTTTACAGAACGTGGAAGTGTATTTGAGTACCGTATGGCCCAGGAATCGGTTTAATAAAACTCACAATTATTGTCATAAACGCGACAAATTTTAGCATAGAAAACGTATATCGGAAAAAACGAATAAGTTACAATAGTAGATTTACGCTTCAATGCATAAATTTTCTTTAATAACATTATCTGTTTTAAATCAAATCATATTTGTTCAAAATTATATCTTGTTTTTAGTTATATCATTGCAAAATTGTTAAGAAATGTTATTTACTGTTATATTTTATAACAGTACTGTTATATTTTACTGTTATATGTTATATTTTATTGTGTTAATAATATTTATATTAATATGCGTTTATAAGTATATACATATCTATATACATTTTAATAAAAATGTTGCCAAATTCTAATTTTGTATATATATCACTATATTTATATTTCTAATCTTTTTAGTACTTCTCGTGCAATCCCGGCTCCTATTTTAGTTTTTGCCATTCAATTGGTCCCATCACTTCCAAGACGATTGATTCGCATTCTCGAGAAATCGTCAATTCCTAGAGAAATCGAATTTCTCTTTGCTATGGTTAATTTCCTCAATTTGCCAATCTGTTCGATTTGCAGGTGCAAGATGGCTGCCGTTTCATTTCCGGCAGGAGTAATTATTGACCGAAATGTCACTATGCTGACCTACATAGCAGTGGAATTATGATTGCATTTCCATAAAACGTTGTCCAAGATATTCTAACACGTTGTTAACGAAAGATTTTCCTTTCGTAAGTTTTTATGTGAAATATGATAATAGAAATATGCGAAATATCTGAAATACGTTTGTATTATTCTTGTAAAATTATTTATATGTTTTAGGCAAATAAATATAAATATTACATTTCATCAAACAAAAATATATTACAATTAAATATAGAGAAATGTCATCTTTAGTCAGACTGGATCTTGATAGCCTACAAATATATTAAAGTATATTTCATGAAATTTTCAACATATTTGTAATTATACTATGTTTTATTATATTTTATTAATTGTAAATGCTTCACAACGATACGCACGGGATAGCATAATACACAATTTAAAAAATTAATAACTGTATTAAATATATGCAACACATTTTTAAAACAAGATTCGTTGCTGTCAAAGCATTTCAATTTTTAAGAAAAAAATTAATAAAAGTAAAACAATATAAATTAATTTTAGTTCTTACAAAAAATTTAATTAGACTTTTATATAAAATAAGTATAAAGGGAACTTATATCTAACCATACAAATTTTTAAGTGTTTTATAAGCTCAAGTTTTTTATTACCTTCTATTTTCAAAATTGTAAAATAAAAAACAGCATCAAAGCTCAAATACCGGTATTTAAGTGACTTGTAAAGCTTCACCTGCAATTTAAACAACATGAATGAGCTTCTGATGTCATTGATACGTACGTAACGAGGAAAATCTCGCTTTTTCAGAGATAGTGAATTTTCTTTGAACGTTTGCGAAAATTGCTGCTGCTGTTGCTGCTCTGGGAGAGCAGCTACAGCTGATGAATGCTTTGAAATTCTAACTCGAGAGTCAATCCCCATTTTATTGATGCTGTAAAGAAACTTTCCTGTGTCACCTTTTGCACATGTTTTTTATTTTGCTTTTCTTTCATATGCGTGGAGAGAATTTTTTCTTAACACATAATTTATGCACTTAAACCTTTGATTCAGTTGTATTTTAGTTGAATGATACTTCTCGCAATATACTTGCATCTCAAATTTTACTCAATGGCGAGGAAATAATGGCGAATAAAACTGAAAGGACGCGTTCTTCGATAAAAGTATCCTTTTCACGATAATATATATCATACTGGTTCGGGGGGGGGGGGGGGGGGAGCGATTACGCCTGCCACCAAATAAAAGCGAGCCAGAACGCAGAAGATAGTGTCGCTCGTAAAAAAAAGGGCGAGACCTGTATCCGCGACGAGAGTCACTATCGATCGACATTTCGCTATACGGGATGAAAATCGAAGTAGATACTTCGAGGAGAGACAAAAGTGTGCGGTACACAAAAATTTCCGAATAAGTTTTACGGTGCATGAGGTTCTTACGAAGATCGCGCTACCGGAAATCGGCACTATTCTCGAGAGGAGTCTCATCTCATCGAGATTTCGCAATTTGAAACTCTTACAGCACATCGCGTCTTTATGGATGCAAGAGTTTCTTCTTGACTTCAGTTTCTTGCCAGCGGATTAGGATAATGTTTTCTTCTCCACTCTGTGCTGTTCGGCGATCGTATAAAGCTATAATACTGGATGCGCGATATTGGAACGCGATTCCTATTTTGCAGTTTTATCACTCTAACAGAAATTACGATGCGTGAAGTTTAATGTTCTGAATACGGTCATAATAAAAAGATGATTAATGTCTATGTTGAAAAAAGATGCATTGTTTAAAATATTTAAAAATTGCAAAAAGTATCCAAATTTCATAAACGCGAATAGCTTAGTGTAGGTACAAAGTTAATTTTAAGAGTTTGAGAATTTTTGGATGTATCAATGTTCCTAGAATTAAAAAATAATAATTCTGTTTTGTTATAGAAATTGCTGCAAATTCAATATATTCCAAAATTGTAACTATAATTTATTCGATTTGCAAAAAGAGACGCATAATTTCATAACTGTACATAATATAAATGTCAAAATTTTAGGAATTGTATTTACACTTATATACAATTTAATTTTCGTGGATATTTTGCGATATGTCTAATTACGCTGCTACATAGCTGGACATAAAATATCGAAAAGTTTCGTCACGTAGAGCGTTATGTGGAGGCGTCGCAACTATACAACTCATCAGAGCGCATTGAGCAGGACATGACATGAGATGCAGAGCGGAAGTGTTTTCTCTGTTTAAAACAGTCCTGACGGTTGAACATCACGTTTTGGACATTCAGAAAATTACATGCGCGTACGCAGTTTGATATATAGGAATTACACGATGAAAGCACGATGAAAGCGTGAAAAAGCATATGAAAAGTAATATATCTAACAAAAAAATGGCATTAAAAAATGCGGCGACTTGCATAAAGGATCATCGGCGATGAATCAGCGCATTCGCGATTCTCAGCAAGTAGGTACACAAGCAGAAATTTATCCACTGTTTTATGCTATGATCAACTCACAGTAACCGTAATTATTAATTCAATGATTAATAGAGGAGTATCTGTCTAGTATAAAAATAATTATTTACAATGCCATTTAAATGTCGCTTTAATACAGTCATGCACTTTTAATACCATCAATTTCATTTTAAACTTTTTGTGCACAAACAATTTTTTTAATTCACGGAATTAGACAAATTTAATGGAATTTGATATAAATTTTCAGTAACTGCACTTTTAGATCAGTTTAGCCTATGTTCAGAAAAAATTCGGTTCAAATTTGCCAAGGAGAATCCATCTAAAATTGAAACCGGAACTTCTGTGATATCCTGTATGCACGCTGCATACAAAGGGTAGCACATCGAAGGGCGACGTTGCTTCATGAATACGGTTGTAGTCACGCGCGCGTTCTTGTAGAAGTTATGCGAGGAATATACGCACCGACGATAGCTGTCCCGGTTCCATCTCCGGCATAAATCACCGGCAACAGCTCACACAAAAACGCGGAAGAACCATGTGTAGTCGTTTTACCGCCTTCGCATTCGATTTTCGTGACTCAGCTCTATCCTCTTTTGCGTAACGGTGTTGTCTCCAACAACAGTGATAATGCGTTGAAAGTGCTTCTAAGGCTCTGTTGTCGTTAAATATATTATTCGCATCTCGTACACACTTGCAGAGTCATTTTTATCCCTAATTTTTAAATATATAGAGATAAATAATTTTTATCTTTTTTTTTCTCTCTCTCTCTCTCTTTCTTTTCATTTTTAATGAGTCTCCATTAGTGTTAAAGTACAATCATAATTACGACAGTGGACAATAATTCCAAAATACCCTCATAAAGTACGTATATAAATTTAAGTTATAGATACTAATCTATTAAAATGTATCTTTTGTTATTTTATTTTGAGAATTTTATATTTCTCAATGCATTTAGCTTACTTTAAATAAAAACTCGATTTTACGTTCAATTTTATACAGTTTTAAAGAATACATACTAGTCTCTATTCGTATCTTTATTCATGCTATTAGTGAAAATTATGCGTAGCTGACGTCTACACAAAAATTGGCGTAGCAAGACTTGCGGAAACTAGGGCAGTGTTATGAATGTTACTGTAATATGCGTCAGGATAAATGTAACAACGATACAAAAATCGACCAGGAAGCACAGCTCGCAAAAGCATTGTTGCGCGGATGACTTCCACACGGTCCACTTTTTTCTTCGTTTTGCTCCTTTTTTCTTCATTTTCCGGCTATTCGACAAAGTGTCTCCGGTATAGTTTTATTTTTGCGAGGTTTTGCAGTTTTTCGATCTGCTTCACTTTCAACTAATCACATCGCAAGTCCGTTTTCACAAAAAAGCAAGAATTATAGAGGATGCAGGAAAATATAACACACTCATTGTCAGTGGGACAGAAGTATTTGGAAAATATGCTGATATTTTTTATACTTCTTTACAATCCCAGTTAATCTTCGCTATTGCTGCACAAACACTAAATGTGTATAGGCTCTCTTTTTAAACAAGTCTACAATTAATTAAGGAATGAAAAATAATTTTATCGATTTATATATTACGATATAGATATCTATATTGTAAGATATATCTATGAAAGAAACTGTTGAAAACAGTATCATATACAAAATGATTCCCATATATATGAAGGATGGAAACAATTGAGAGATGTGTGATCTTCATTTGAATCTCTATTGAAAGTTAATGCGCAATCGTTATTATTATAAGGAGGTTAAAGTTTTAATACGTGTTGTACAAGTGGATTTATGGATTTCCGAGAACGTCTTCCAACATGAAATTTCCTTGGACATTAATGAAAAATCTGAAGTTATCTAGGTGGAATTTTGTACAAAATGATTGTGAACAGAACTGGCAATTCACTTTGAGAAAATTAGTGTTTAATTTGTCGGGATACAACAAATACGGGCTCTACACACACGACATCATCTATTATGACGATCCCGTCGTACGCGAAGCACTGCGTCGAATACCAGAAGAGGTAATGGATGCCAGAAATTTCAGGTATAATGAATTTAATGTAGATCCCAATAATAATCCACTAATAAAAGCAGTCTAGTAATAAAAGCAAAAGTTATCAATATTTATAGATAACTATATAAAACAAA